TTTTACTAAATGCATACGAAAGTATATGTACGGTACTTATAACAAAAAAGAAAATAATTTTTAAAATTTTTGTCTGTTTGTTCCGACTTGTCTTGGAAATGGCTGAATCGACTGTGACGGGACTTTCACTGGCAGACAGCTGATGTTATGAGGAATAACTTAGGCTACTTTTATTTTAGAAAAAGATTTAGGGAAATTAAAACCTATGAAATCCAATCGCAATAAATATCACGCGAGCGAAGTCGCGCGGAACAGCTAGCTATGAACTTATGAATAACTTTCAAAACTTACCTTTTTTTATAAAGATTTAACAATGTTGGGGTGACAAACAAGGTAAGCTGTAATGTCCCACAGTACGAACAATACTATTATACTCGTATGCCTTTCGTGCTCAAGGCCTGTTGGAGTCAAACATTTTATAAAAATTAAACGATCAATCAAAAGTGAAAAAATAAAATAATAATTTCCATATAAAAGCTTCTGGAGTCGGTGCTAAGATGATGTATAAAAGAATTAATTTAAATATTGTTTTAATTGTTTTATTATTTTTAGATATATATATTTTTTAAGTTGGTTATTAGTTTTTATTAAAAGTTTTATTTTCGCCTCCTATAAAGTTACCCTGAACCTATATAGATATAGGATAAAATGTTTTCTTTAAATTTATTTGTAACCTCCCTTGAAGTACCTATATCTGTAGAATCAATAAAATTAGCTTTTAGCTTTAGAAGACTGAAGACACCGCGCAACATAGGTTATATTTCGAGCCCTTAGGTTAATACGGAACACGGTCAATAATAAATAAAGCGGCAATTGTCTCTGATTCTGGGAGACAGCTCCCGCAATAGCAATTACATTGCCGTATTGTTATCTAATAGTATTAAGTGGGCATGTGGGCGGACGTAGAAAGATTTCTCGTAAATAGTGATACCTGTGCTTAGCCCTTGAATTGCTGAAGGGAAGTAAAAAGCGCTTACAATATGAGAACAAGTCAAAAAGATTATGTCTTTATCTATCGAAATCACCACATCAGAAGATCTTGCGGGTATTATATTCTTGACTACCTTTAGTTAATTTTTAAGACATCATGGTATTTTCTAACGCCACAACCATGGGTCATAAAATTAATCAATAATTATAGTAATAATTTTTAACGTACGTGACCTTTGTAACTAAGTGAAGAAAATTGTTTGAGTCAATAAAGGGTTTTAAACGTCTTAATTGATTTCACGGGTGTTTTCCCTTAGAAGAGTTGTAAATGTCATCACGAAAAACGGAATGTTGTACAAGAAATACAAGTCGATTTAAAGTAAAATTGAACTCGGTTACGGAAATGTGTTTAGAAAGAGGAGTTTGAACCTTCTTAAATTTTTTATAGAAACGGAATAATAAAGCAGTGACACGAACCAGTTTACCCAGGGATGAATAATGTGATATAATTTCTACGTCTTCGTTAATTGTTTTTTCCGTCAACTTCTTACCAATTCCTGGGCAACATAGGTCGATAAAATGTACTAAAGCAGCTGTCGAACAATATTTCATGAAAAATTCCCCACTCACACGTCTCCAACAGCACTTTCCAACCACCTCACGTTCTGTTACAAATGAAAACGAAACCGCTCACGTACCATCATGCATGAATACAGGTTTTTATGTTTAGCACACGAGGCATTGTCGATTACACTATACCGTGTATGTGACCACTTATCTAGCTCCTAATGCGTATAGCACAATAAAAATGAAAGTGAACAAACTATATAAAGCATACACAATCGCGCATCCGTTGCCGCTGCGACAAAACGCCACAGTACTATTTTTTATATAGAATAAGGGTGACAAACGAGCACACAGTCCACCTGATCATCAGTGGATGTTGTGTTCCGTAGACATCTACATTTATCCTCAATTAAGAATCAAAATGTAGATGCGTTGCCACCACCGAGGACTAAGATGGAATGTCTCGTTTCCATTAAAAAGGGTCTCCCGTTCTCTATACTCACGATACGGCATTAAGCTGTTATTTTACGGTTGGTATTTTGTGAAAACGTTGTCCTACCCCGAAACTCTGGTCTAGCTTACCCATCAGTGCTACAACCATAATTTAGGTGCAGCATGGCTCTACCACGTAAAAAATGTGCTACAGTGCGATTCTTCCATGTAGAGCTTCAGCATCACATACTTATACTTACTAGGTGGGATTGTCGTCAAGCAATAGTTTATAAACAGTAAAAAAAAAACTTTGAATATATGTTTATACGTGGTGGAGGCATGCTGCAGCTATATTATGATTGTAACACGAATGTGTCGACTCGACCGGGGAAGAAGTCCATGCTCATACAGAATACCAGCGTGAAATAGCAGCATTAACGAACTGCTGTGTTTTGTATAGTAACCGTAGTGAACCGAAGACCCTTTTTAACTGGAAACGAGGCATTCCATCTTATTCTTCAGGGATGACAACACATCATCTGCATTTTGATTCTTAATCGAGGATAGATATAGATTGCTAATGGCCCCAGCATCCACTTACTATCAGGTAAACTATGAGCTCGTTTGTCATACTGATACTATAAAAAAATGTTAATGGAAATAACAACCATCTGCCACTACCACAAATGTTATTACGATAGTCTTTTATTAACGGACCACAAACAACAATTCAATATAAACTTTATATCAGGAGCATAGAGTTTAATTTGACATTATCTTTACTCCAAAGGTAATTGTTATGCACGGTGCAAACGAATTGAATATATTTTATGTATACTGTTTCTATTTGTTTATTGTAATTATTGTTATGTCACAATGAATGACAATGTAGTTTTATTAAGTAATCATAAGTAAGTTGTATGCCTTGAACTTATTAAAAAAAAAGTTATTTAACGAGTAAAAATGCAGAATTGCCACGTTGGTGTAGTGGTCGTAAGCGCGGCTTCTGATCATGAGGTCCAGGGTTGTAATTCTGGCTTGGGTCGAAATTAGTTGTTGGAGTTTTACCGTCAAGAAATTCTCAGTAGCGTGCCTGGGAAATAACGTAAAGCCATTGGTCCTGCGCCTGATCTCTTTACGGTCGTGTCGGATTTTCCGTCCCATCGGACTATGAAAGTGAAGGTATAGAGAGTACACTTATGTTTGCGCACACACTCGTGCACTATAATCCTGTCCTACGCAGATGGCTGGTATCCGTTGAGACTGACCGCTGTGACCGATTTCCAGCCTGGGGGCCTTATTACATTCAGACTAACATGCTGCCGACTGTATGTACGACAATCAGCAATACTTATATTAATCTATCCTATTACTTACAGTAGGATTTAATTTTCATTACAAATTCAATTATAGGTTTCACTTTTTTTCTCTTTGGAGACAGAGGTACGAAAATGCCAATAGAGTAACAGCTTTTGTTCTGTGGCTATCGAAGAAGTTAATCCTTCGTTATCGTTACATCATATTAAGGTCCACTGCTGAACATAGGCCTTATCGATAGATTGAATCACAGGGGAGACATTTGCCATAGCTACCACGCTTGGCAAGCGAGGTGGCAACAGCAGTTTTTTACTTTTAATTGGAAGACGCTGCTGCCCATCTCATTTGTTTCCTTCTTTCGCCTCTTATGACACTAACGGGATGATATAGGATAGTGGATATCGAAGTTAATACAAATATAGTTATGCTACAGATATTAAAATAGGCATATTAGTAATATAAAACAGATCAAGTTTAGGGAACCAGGGAAACAGAACAGATCAGGGTTACGGAAGAGTCATTGTTACGAAATAAGTCCTTTAGTTGCGGCGTTACAGTCTTCATGAAATTTCACATCTGCTGACCAATTCCATACTTAAAATTTTTGTTCGAATCATCACTGAAACGTAAGGAATAAAATAAATGCGGGATAGATGAAATGATGACAAGACAGACACAACTCGCAATGGGCGGTTTCCCCGAAAAAATATAAAAGATGATCATAAGACCTGTCGTATTATATGTTACCGAGTGCTGGCCTTCAGAGATAGTTGAAACAGTGGATACATATGGCTGAAATGCGTATGCTGAGATGGATGTTTGTGATGACGAAATTGGATAAAATCAGAAACGAATTTATCAGCGAGAGTGGCCCCAGTCACGGAATAGTTGACAATTAGTGATAGGCTAGCGTGGTATCGGCATATTATGTGCAAAGAAAAGAAAAGCAAAGAAGAGTTTTGAATATAAGAGTAGAAGGAGTCCTTCGGAAAGATGAATGGAATGAGTCAGATATTATATGCGTAATAAAGGAGTGGGAAACATGACGGCTAACAGAGGGAAATGGAAGAGGAAGACAGGTTATACCGACACCTAACCAAGTTATTTGGCGGTGGTATAAATTTTAATAATTATTACAAATAAAAAACTGTATACGTATACACGATGTTTGTTGTTTATAATATATGTGTACATATATACAAACATAATATACATTTGCCCTGAAAAATAAGGCCAGTAAAAGTTGTAACTAACATTTTGTCCTCGTCACAACGACTTGCATTTTTTTTTAAAAATAAAACCACCTCTCAAAAACTGGCCACCTGATGGTAAGTGGCTACTGCAGCCCATTGAAACCTGCATCCAACTTTAAATAAAGAAAACTATAGATGCGTTATATTACCACAAGCAGTAAAATGACATGCCTAATAGTAGGCAGAAAAAGAGCCCTATCATTTAGTAGTAGTAATAATTGGTATATACAAGATTATTTTTTAAAGAGTAGCCAAATTTTAAACTTAAGTTCAAATATATAATTAGTGTTATACTGTCATTGCAGTTTTAGAAAATACGAGTAAATAAGGTTTCCACTTTTATTTGAAATTATCCCAAATTGAATGTGATTTATGCAACAACGTTTTTGCCTACATTGTATGTTAAAAATACTGAATCTATGCATAAAATGTTTTCATAGTTAGGGAACTATTATAGCCCAAATAAAATACAGTAACCTTTAATATTTTTGCACGTTTCAGACACGTGCCGAAAGCGAAACCCACTACAATGGCAGAGACGCCCGAACTGAAACGAATAGCCGAAAACACTAAACTACAGAGCAACGTCAAATATCACGCCGACTTCGAGAGGAGTAAGGGCAAGTTTACACAGGTATATGTTTTCCTAAAATTAAAAAGAAGCCTTTAGTATTGGTTCAATTGTGGTGCTGCGTTGATTAATCAAAAGGATACCTTCTGTATCCCAAAAGATCGTCGCCACGATCTTTCCGGATGATTGAGACACCATATACTTCTTAGTATAAGGTGTCACAATCTCCTCATCGACTCTTGCTTTAACTCAGGTTCATAATGGTGAACCAAAATTTCGTCGCCAGTTACAATTCCGGGCCATAACTTTCTCCCTTTGCTGTCCACAGCGGTCCAAAAACTCGCGACAACTTTCGACGCGCTCGTGTTTTTGATGCGCAGAAAGCATTCTCAGGGCCCATCTTGCACCATCAATATATATGTACTACGTACTAGATTTCGCATTCCGAACATACACTATGTTCAACTAAACTGTACTGCAATCTGTACAGTGTGTCATTTAGTGTAGTTTCAATCTACTAGTTAGTCTGTGTTTTCAATATTCATGCAGTGTGGAGCGTCGCTAATAATACAAGATTTCAAATTAAAGCTTAAATTAAAAACTGCAGACACAACGCGCTGAAATCAAAAGTGTACGCGCGTCTCTTTATAATCAAAGGCGCTACTCTACTATCTCTCGCGCATGCGCGAAGACATGAGTAGTGCACATTTTTTTGTTTAGAATGGCTTCTCTAGCACGTAGTACATATAACTCAATGTCTTGCACAGACTTTAGTCATGTCAAGGTATTAATAAAGGATATTTAAAATGGTTGTTTCTGATATCACCTCAGTAGCTCTGCATATATGTATACGATACGGTAAGATCGGCTTATCGCACATTAAGACGTTGAACAAATTAAGTGTTTTACTCCTTTCCAGCGCGGATATACGTGCACTTTGTGAACTATGCTACAGTAACTTTTGATAAAAATATAAAGAAAATATTGGCGTTTTTTCGTATGGTGACGGCGAGAGTGCGTTATCCCACTTCGCGTTGGTAGGTGTCGTAAGAAGAACAATTATGGGAAGTTCCAAAAGGTCTCATGGCTATCAAAAGACGGCGATTCTGCCATCTCGTATTTTATATCAGATGTAAGATATTTATACCGGTAGCGGATAGCAACATCAAAGGTACGATTCACTTAGCCGCTTGCCGTAGAGATTATGGCAAATGTGGTCTTACAGAATTGGTCGTCGTTGATGACATTGATCGGGAGAACGTTACCTTTTTTTTATAAGATAGTTTGACAAATGAGCACACAGTCCACCTGATGGTACATGGTTGCTGTAGCCCATAGACATCTACATTTATCCTTAATAAAATATAAAAATGCAGATGCGTCGTCACCCGTGAGGACTAAGATGGAATGCCTCTTTTCCAGTAAAATGGGTCTCTGGTTCTCTACACTCACCACACGAAACACAGCAGTGTCAACCCGCCATTTTATACTGGTATTTTGTGAGAGCGTGGTCCTACCCCGGTCGAGCCGACCCATTCGTGCTACAACTATACTATTAATATAGCTACAGCATGGCTCTACCACGTATGAACCTAAAAGGGCTTAAATGATTGCTCAAATAACTTTTAACTGATACGATATTAATAGCAAAAATACATCGGCTTATATTAGCTTCGTACCGGCAAGCAAAGGTAGGGCGTCCACCCACTAGATGGAGTAACGACCTGATAACACATGCAGGAAGTCGATGGATACAGGTGGTTCAGGACCGTGCTTTGTGGCATATCTTGAGAGAAGCCTACATTTAGTGCAATGGACTTGTGAAGGGCTGTAATGATGATGATAATGACGATTATAAAACTGAAGTGAAAAACGAATTCACAGTCCACTTGATGGTAAGTTGCTACTGTAGTGCAAGGACACCCGCAACCAACTTCAAGCAAAGAAGACTATAGATGCGTTTTTATCTCCGAGGACTGAGATGAAATGAGGTATTTCATCTTAGTACAGGCTGTAATTATACTAACTCTCCATACTCTTCAGACCGGGAAATGACAGTGCCAGGCACTGCTGTTTTGTGGCAGAAATAGACAAGAGGGTGACATACCCGCCCTGACAGACTCATAGGTACTAAATCTTGCAATATACCGATACTGATGATACATTCACATAATAACAGTGTTAGAGCCACGCGGCAGCTTTTGCTGTCGCACGGATGGGCCGGCTCGAACCGGGGTGGTACCACTACCTCGCAGAATACCAGCGTGAAGTAAAGGTTTACCTCTGCGTTGCGCTTGCTGAGTGCAGGTGGCCGGAGGCTCAATCCCCCCCCCCCCCCATCAAAGTGGTAGTGAAATTAAATAACCGACTACCCTAGGAGGGTACCAGCACCCCTGGAAAATCCCAAACCACCAAACTACTCCACTCCTGAGCGTGGGTGCAATAAAGCAATAAAACCAAGGCGACCCCTGTCGCGCTATCCGTGAATTTTTGCGACATCAGGGGACTTCATTCCAACCTTAGGGCTGTCCATTACCATCTAGAGACGGCGAAGCCGTCCTTGCTCTTTATAACCAAGACTCAGGTGTCCTCTCCGGCTGATACTTCAAATCTCTCCTACCCGGGGTACAAATTAGAACACTCCTTTGTGCCCCGGGCTGGAGTCTGCGTATACGTCAGAGAGGACATCTGTTTTTGACGCCTCGGCAGTCTTGAAGGTACGGACCTGTCCATCCTACGGCTGCGCGTAGACAGCGACGACCATCCCCGCGTCTACGGGTGCCTCTATAGGTCTGCCGACACAGAGCGACTCATCGACCACGTCCAAATGGCTGCAGACTCCGTGCTACAACAGGTCCCACCGCAGAGATCGTGATACTCGGTGATTTTAACGCCCACCACGCTGAATGGCTTGGTTCTCGTTTAACCGATCATGTGGGTAGATCTGTATATGACTTTGCCTTGGCATGTGGTCTAACACAACTGGTTACTTCGCCTACGCGGATCCCAGATGTGGAAGACCATGTACCTTCCCTGTTGGACCTTCTGCTGACCTCTCACCCGGACGGATATCAGGTCTCCGTCGATGCCCCTCTGGGCTCTTCGGACCATTGTCTGCTCCGGAGTACGGTGCCACTCACGCTCCAATCGCAGTTGCGATTTGCAGCTTGCCGCCGTGTTTGGCAATATAGGTCAGCCGATTGGGACGGGATGCGGTATTTTTTTGCATCCTACCCTTGGGGGCGGGTTTGCTTCTCGCCGGAAGATCCCAGCGTTGTTGCCGATTCTGTTGCTGATGTGGTACTTCAGGGTATGGAATTTTTTATTCCATCCTCTGTGGTGCCCATCGGAGGCAGATCCCAGCCATGGTTTGGTCGCTCCTGTAAAATAGCATCACGCTATAAGCAGGAGTGCTACCAGGCCTGGGCTGACGCATCAACGTCTCGGGATGTAAGCACCAGCGCACTTAAAAAGAAGTATAATTCTACCTCCAGGTCCTTCAAAAGCGTCATTGCCAAGGCAAGGTCTGACCACATCGGCAGAATTGGCGAGAAGCTAGTTCGCCTTCCTTCGGGAACCCGTGCATTCTGGTCTCTCGCCAAGGCTGTCCAAAGGAATTTCTGTCCGCCATCTCTTCCATCTCTGCACAGAGAGGACGACTCACTGGCCCATGCCGTAAAGGAGAAGCCGATCTGTTGAGCTCTCTTTTTGCGTCCAACTCGACTCTAGACGACGGGGGGAACACAGCGCTCGGTTCGCAAAGCACTCTTCACCCTGAACGTCAGCAAGTCGAGTGGGCCCGATGGAGACCCTCCCATTGTGCTGAAGACGTGTGCTCCGGAGTTGGCACCGGTTTTAACGCGTCTTTTCCGGTACTCCTACTCTCAAGGCGTAGTCCCGAATTCATGGAAGACAGCTTTGGTTCACCCGATCCCTAAAAAAGGTGACCGCTCAGACCCGTCCAACTACAGGCCTATCGCCATCACCTCCTTGTTCTCCAAAATAATGGAATCCATTATAAACTGCTAGCTCATGAGGTACCTTGAGGATCACCAGCTGATTAGTGACCACCAGTACGGTTTTCATCGGGGTCGATCAGCTGGTGATCTTCTGGTCTATCTGACTCATAGATGGGCGGAGGCAGTAGAGTCCAAGGGGGAGGCATTGGCCGTTAGTTTGGACATAGCGAAGGCCTTCGATCGGGTCTGGCACAAAGCGCTTCTTTCGAAGCTTCCTTCCTATGGGCTTCCCGAGAAATTGTGCAAATGGATCACCAGTTTTCTTGCTGATCGGAGCATTAAAAAAATGTCGTAGTAGACGGTGCATGCTCTGATTTCAAGCCTATCAACGCTGGTGTTCCACAAGGCTGCGTGCTATCACCAACGCTGTTTCTCCTGCATATCAATGATATGTTGCAAACTGGTAGCATACATTGCTATGCATACGACAGCACTGGTGATGCCTTATATACCGGCCGTGCCAGTATTTCTCGGGAAAACGTCGCCGAGTACCGGGACAGACTTGTGTCTGAAGTCAAGTCTTTGCTTAACAAAGTCTCGGATTGGGGGCGACTAAATCTAGTCCAGTTCAACAGAAGACACAAGTTTGCGCGTTTACCGCTAAAAATAACCCTTTTGTCGTATCTCCTCAGTTTCAAGGCACTCCCCTTGCTGCCTCAGCTAGCATCGGAATCCTTGGCGTTGACATATCGAATAGTGTGCAGTTTCGTGATCACTTGGAAGGGAAGGCCAAATTGGCCTCTAAAAAGCTTGGCGTGCTCAGCAGAGCGAGACAGTATTTCATGCCGGCACATCGCTTGCAACTTTACAAAGCGCAAGTTCGGCCTCACATCAAATACTGTTCTCATCTCTGGGCCGGGGCACCCCAGTGCCAGCTCCTTCCACTTTACCGCATCCAGCGCAGAGCGGTTCGAATCGACGACCGAGTTCTTTCTGGTCGGCTCGATACACTGGCACTGCGTAGAGATGTTGCATCTCTTTGCGTATTTTATCGTATCTATCACGGGGAATTGTTCGGACTAATTCCAGCCGCTCAATTTCACCATCGCACATCGCGACAAAACTTGCGTTACCATCCATACCATCTGGATGATTGGCGGTCCACCACTGTGCGATGAAGAAGTTTTCTCCCTCGCACAACTTCCTTGTGGAATCGATTACCACCAGCGATTTTTCCGGACCGATACGACTTAGGGACCTTCAAGAAAAGAGCCTACTCCTTTTTAAAAGGCCGGCAACGCATCTGCGATTCCCCTGGTGTTGTAGTTGTTCATGTGAGCCGCACGCTCGTTTGTTCCCTCTCCTATAAAAATAATAATCACAGTATACCTGCTTGCATTATACTCACGTTTTATTTATTGTAAGCATATTCTAGTAATGAACAAGGCGTTTACGATGAGTGAATCAGAGACGAGGCTCGATAGTGTTATTCATATCAGTGTTGTTCATGGGCGGCGGTAGTCACTTACCATCAGGTCAGCCGTATGTTCGTTTGTCCTCTCTTTTATAAAAAAAAAATACAACAAAATAATTCATCAAATCGAAACCAACTACGATTAAACCAGAGTTACATAATTGAACTGTTGAACATTGGTTATATCGACGATATGAATACATTGTAATACCCGTCAACTTCCTCTAGAACTACATTAACACTGTTTTCTATTTTTTTGATGACGTTCAGTAACACAGTCAGTACTATCCGGGTTATGTAACTGAATATTCTCCAACATTTCAGGTTGCGGATGACCCAGAAACACTAAGGATCAAAGCGAATACGAAAATAATTAGTAATGTGGCGTATCACGGCGATTTGGAGAAGAAAGCGCAAATGGAGAAGCAGCGGCAGATCAATGAAAACGGAGAACTTGTCGGTAAGTACAGAACTAGTTAAAGAAGTACGACGTTAGTTGAATTACTGTTTCAAGTAACAAAGTGGCTTTTGTTAGAAAATTCCTAAAAATACCCTTAGGTTCGCAAAACAAAATTCAAAATCAAATATTATTACCAAGTATTTTTGAATTATGTAACTTTTATTCTTTTATGTGCAAAACTATTCTAGCTATTTGTGGTTAGTAGTGAGCTAAACCTACTGTAAATTGGTTTTGGATCAATTTTTTTTTACTCTGTTTCATCACAGTACATTATTTACACGTTCATTTATCATTTTGCACTTGTAACATCATAGCGTTTCGGGTTGGGACGTTTGTCTGTTGTTTATTTAAATGTTTGTTTGTCATGTCATGGAAGAGAATCACTACATTTGACATCTATAGTCTAATAAATATCATCCATGTTATTTCAACCAACTCTTGTTATCGTTACTTTGATAATCGAGACTATCGTCACGCTTGTAATCACCGAAGGGGTAGGTGAGTTCAAAGAGGAGGGAGCTACTCGGACTACGTTCAGCCAAACAATTACGGTTCTAAACTCATATTATTTCCGAGTAGCCGGAAAAGTGTGAAAAAAGTGACAGGTGGTTTACTCATCGCCTACACAATCACAAACACATTGAAACAGAAACAGAAACTTTTTTATTCAATATAGATTATAAATAATACTTATTAAAAGTAACTCTTTTACTTATTATACACACAAAAACACATATACACACATACTATTATTCGGCCTTTACGACGCACTAGGCAAGTGACACAGTTGGCGGCATATTATGCTTTTTAGTAATAAGTCCCATATTAAACATGGGATCTATAAATTACAGATCAATAAGGTACTGGTGAAGCATTTTAAAACATTACATTAGCTTTAACATCATTTAATCCACTGCGAAATGAAGGCATTTTTCAGAATGCGTCAGCTGGCCTGACCTTGAAAAATTGGCTAATATCTCACGCCGACCCGACGTCTTAATACACTCACTGTTCCCATCACCAGTCTGTCAGGTACCATATTATAACAAATTAAATTCTCTACTGTTAATAGTGACGATGAATACAAATAAAATAATGTTTAAAAGTATGTACAAGCCCTGTGTAAAGATTGAACATTTTAACACATATAGTAGTAATAACTTACATAATCTTTCGAACATTTTCCATTTGTTCCACTTACAAAGCTATTTTTGGTAATAAGGTCAAAACCAGACAGTTTTCGGACGCAGAATGGTGCGGGTGTCTGTTTTATGTATACTAAAGTTTATATTATTATAATTTACGTGGTAGAGCCGTGCTGCAGCTATATTAGTAGTATAGTTGTAGCACGAATGGGTCGGCTCGACCAGGGAAGGACCACGCTCTCACAGAAAACCAGCGTAAAATAGCAGCTTAACCCTGCTGTGTTTCGTATGGTGAGTGTAGAGAACCGGAGACCCTTTTTTTACTGGCAAAGAGGTATTCCATCTTAGTCCTCACGGGTGACAACGCATCTACATCTTGAGTCTTTATTGAGGATAGATGTAGATGTCTATGGGTCACAGTATCCACTTACCATCAGGTGGACTGTGTGCTCGTTTGTCACCCTATCCTATAAAAAAAAATACTTTCGGCAAAAATGTAAATATAGGTTATTTGCAAGTAAAACTTTTGCAACTGTTTCATTTAAATACTGACGTTTCACTGCCTGACTACCTACAAGCATCTCAATGCAGGCATAGACATCGTATTCATGAGATGGTCTTGTAGCTTTCACTATGCTGTTTTTAGTTCGTGTACGCTAATTTTTCGCACGATATTTCCCTTTAGCACCGGGTATGTTGTTAATGTCTATACAATTACTGTCCGTTAGTCTCGCTAAAACTCTGGATGATTTTTTGTGTGTGTTTGAATGGGTCCCTAGAGGGTTACGCTCACATTTGGAACCGGTAGGTGGCGCTACTGTCGAGATCCAGAAATCACCCGTGCGAAGCTGGGGTGGATCGCTTGTCATTACTAAAATTACGAATAAGTTTGAATAGTACCAAGATTGAACCATTGTTCACTTACCATGAAGTTGTAGTCAGATCCTGCTCGATTGTAGAAACCGGGAACAATAGTAAAAATTATATGTTAACTATAGATAAACACTAAAATCACAACGCATTATGTTTTCTCGTACGCAAACTGTCTGTGTTTGCAATCAATGTTGTTATGTCGCTAACTGTAACGCCCCATCGCTAATTTGTGTTTGTCCCATCACCGCTTCCATGTCTAGATGTCGCCACTAACGACAACTATCACCAACAAATCGAGAACTACGCCACGGAAATGCTACCGCCGCCAAACATGGCCGCTGCTCCCCACTTACCACCCAAGAACCATTACCAGACTCCAACGCCGCAGCCCCAGGTCCAAGCCGTCCAGCAAACCAGGCAGTACCAATCCGAGCAGCAGTACAGACAGCAGAAATACGAGGACTATGCGCACCAGCAACAGAAATACGACGACTATCAGAACCAATACGCTTACGGACAGTACCAACAACCGAACTACGGCCTAAACAATCAGCAGAAGATCGGCAGAATTCAGGATTACGATCCACTCAGCGACGGCCCAAGAGCACCCCCCAACATACAACACGCCTCAGCTACTGTCATTTACAATAGCACAAGGGATGGAAAGCAAAGAGGTCTGTATTCATTACGTCGAGGGCGACTGTTAAATATTCTACACTTAGTTTTTTTTTTAAATTATCTTAAATTTATTTAGAATGGCTATAAAATATATTTCTTATAAGGAAATTATTTAAAAACAAAGAACCTGAGTGCATTATTGTATAATAATAATAAAAGACAACAAATATCCACGTCCATAAAAATACTCTTCAAGTAATATCTATAGATCTTTGCAAGTTATATACATATTAGTATTATTATCATAAAATTTACCAATCCAATGATACCTTGTATTTCAAATTGGGGCTTACTTTTTGCAATCAGACCTTTGGGAAATGGGTTTTTATAATAAACTGCTAAGTAAATGTATCTTTTCCAAAATAACATATTTTACTTTTTGAATACATGAAATATACCTGTTTGTTAGTTATTTTCGAGTTTTCATCCTTTTGTTATTTATAAACTTATCTTGCGTTAAAATATGTGTTACAATACAAAATATTCCAAGCTTCTAATTTTCAAATTAATACTTTTCTATTTGCTTACGTGCAAGTGTAGATTATTATGATGAGATAAGTCGATATTAACTTCATATTATCAATAGTCACCCTCCTATGTTAGTATGGAAAAATTACCTACTAGCACAGCCTTGAACTCGAAATAGAGTCTGAATTCTAGACACAATTTACATATAAAAATAATAGTACTAATGTACCTTACAGTAGGACATAAACACTAGCCTTTGGAGACGTTAAATTTAAACGTAAATAACTTTATGCTAATGGTATATCATTTATTTTTTTAAGTCTGCAATAACTTTAGATTACTAGAAGTTATTGCAAAAAGTAGTTACCTGAATAAATAATACATTTATAATGGTGTACAATTTTTAACAGCTGCCTCTCCAACTCACAAGCTCTGTTCTTTTTAAATGTTAATTATTGTGTGTTATGTGTAAAACCTGTATTTATATGTCATGCTTAAACCATAAGGTTGAGGGCACCATATACTTGTTCTGTGTTTGCACCGCTATGTCATAAACATCAAAATATCATATTTTGTGAAATATTCCACAGTATCATTACCTACTTAGGTGGTTGGACTCCTCGTCTACTTAGGGTTCCGTCGGGGTACGTAACACCTTCTTACATATTTCTGCTGCTAAATTGCAGTGCTAACATTGTGTTCCGGTCTAAAGGGTAAAGAGTGCCAGTTCATTTACAGGCTGTGAAGCATTCCATCTTAGTCCTCAGAGGTACCAACACATCTTGTAGCCTTGGTTGTATGACGTTGGCTGCACGTGTCCATAGACTGAGTTAATTTATTTATTCAGTTTTATAAAAAGATTACACAATGGTATGAAATATGAAAACAAGTCCTCACAGGCTTAAAGTGTACAAGGAAAAACAAAAAGGTGTTGTTTAAAAATTACAAAGGGTTATCTTATTTAGAAATTAATGATTTCTTGAGTAGGTTTTTAGTTTTCTAAATAACGATTATGTTGCACATGTAAATATTTGTAACAAAACTATTGTTCTATTATATTGCCACATGTGAGTGTTTCACATCTGGTATATAACGGATCGTATACCGCTAGACCACCACCGTGTCATGTCCTCCAGATCGAATTGATCACGGTGTTTCGACCGAATTTACCGAAATTCGGTCTGGAGGACGAAATTGATCGAATTTCGGCCAGTCTCACCAGAAACTAATCATCTGCGCAGGACCGGATTTTAGCGCACAAATGTATGCGTAACACAGTTGCACTCTCAGACTGAGATCTATTGACCGTACTTTGACTTTGCTCAGACTTTACTTTCGAGCTAAGATAATGTCGGTATTTATAGAGCTAACTTCGAAGTCGTGCTGAGAGCGCGCTTAGCAAAGCCTAAGTCAACGAAATCGATGACTTACGTAAAACTCGGGATATTATCCGAAACCACTAATTTTTAATTGTTGTTTTAATGTTACTCTAATTATTTATAACAATAAATAGGTAGTTTTAGACCGTTTTCTAGTTTTAACGTAATTGTTAACTTATTACGAATTTTTAAAACCTTATTTATTTTTTTGATTTTGCACTCTTCTCATCCGTTCCCGTTCTCATATGCTCGTTTTCTATTTCACATAATAATAACTTATTTATTTATCAAATACAATTTCGACTGTTTTCGAATTTTGAATATTACATTTTTTAAATTTTATGCAATTAAACCAAGAAAATAATGCGTGGAATAAAGCATCCATAAATTTTTTGACTGTCTGGGCCTTAGCATAAGCTAAACTTAATCTTAGCCCGATACAATTATAAGTTCAGAACCAAAGATTATGCTAAGCGTATACTCAGCAAATTTTTCGTAAGTAAAGTCTGAGCAAAGTCAAAGTACGGTCATAGATCTCAGCCTCATAGTCCGATGGGATGGACCGGAGAAGAATCAGGCGCAGGACCAACGTTTTGACTTGCTTTTAGAGGCACTGGGGTGAAACACCGCTAACTTTTTCACTCTGTGCTGCAACTGTGAATTTCTTCACAGAAAAACCCAATAGGTGATTTTGACCCGATCCGGGATTCTAACCCGGACTACATGATTAGCAGCCGCGCTTACCACCTATAGACCAACCAGACAGTCGTAAGGCCCATGTGGCTCTTGGTAATCGCTTCGGACATCGACGGGCCGAAATGAGGGTGAAGGATACTCTTTCGCCCTCACTTACAAGGCAAAAACCATATAAACACTCAGTTACTCCATGTAATTGACGAGGAAAGAACATATTTTTAAATCTCGCATGTAATGTAAACTTCGTTGACTTTTAAAATTGACGTTGGTACTGTTTATTGTAGAAAATAAATATAAAATAGCATTCGCATAGTAAATTACTAAAGTAATTTGCACCAAATTAAAATAATTTGAATATACCAACGAAGTGTTTCAATGTCAACTCTACCAGGTGCCCACCAAGCGCAGCAGCAGCAACAACAGAGTCGACAGATAGGTCGGGTCACCGACCTGGACCCGTTGGCCTCCGAGCAACCGCGACCCACGAACAACCACCACCACGCCACCAACCAGGTAAACTACCGACATCTAGTCTTTCTCCCATTCATTAACAACCTATACACACAGTTTGCCATGTCTTATTTATTTGCAAGAAATGAAATTATATGATTTCATATTTAGGTCTATGACATAAGAAAATAAACTTCGTTTATCAATTTTTTTTACCTTAAATGAGAATGAGGTCCCCTCGACCGGAGAAACAGAGAAAGAAAGTATAAAAGGGTAGCAAAGGCAATCCCTCCTGACGAGTTTTTGAATGAATTAATCATATACACGCACGCACACACATAGATACACAACTCGTAATTACTTACGAATCTATGCGAGCAACATGTACCCAAATCCAACACCTGTGTAACATGTGTCTCATAACACATCTTGAATTTGCAACGGCGTTAATTTTTATCTAACAATAGAAATGCTTGAGTTCCCCTACCGTTTTTTTTTTATAGGATAAGGTGATAAATGAGTACACACGTGGTAGAGCCATGCTGCAGCTATATTAGTAGTATAGTTGTAGCACGAATGGGTCGGCTCGACCGGGGAAGGACCACGCTCTCACAGAATACCAGCGTACCAGCGAACCGGAGACCCTTTTTACTGGAAAAGAGGCATTCCATCTTAGTCCTCACGGGTGACAACGCATCTGCATTTTTTCCCAAACGAGGATAGATGTAGATGTCTATGGGCCACAGCAACCACTTACCATCAGGTGGACTGTGTGCTCGTTTATCACCCTATCCTATAAAAAAAAACAGTCCACCTGATGGTAAGTGGTTGCTGTGACCCATAGACATCCACATCTATCCTCAATAAAGAATCAAAATGCAGATGCGTTGTCACCCGTTAGGACTAAGATGGAATGCCTCTTTTCCAGTAAAAAGGGTCTCCGGTTCTCTACACTCACCATACGAAACACAGCAGTGCTAAGCTGCTATTTTACGCTGGTATTCTGTGAGAGCGTGGTCCTTGCCCGGTCGAGCCGACCCATTCGTGCTATATACTATACTACTAATATATCTGCAGCATGGCTCTACCACGTAATGTGTCTTAAATTGGAGTGAGAAGAATCCTGAACGCTTCCTCAATGCCAGTCGGCGTACCGCACTAGTCGATTTCGATTTTATTATGCACTTTTACTATTCTTTGCGTGTTATATTGATATGACTAAAGATTCTTATGCACACTCGCCGGAGTGCTCTCTCTTGGGCTCACTCGAGAAGCCTCGGGCGAGAGACTTGTGCCCGAGTGTGACCATGTACACTCACTAGATATTGTGCGCTAGACTTTGTGCGCCGGTCACTAGATCAGTTGAAATCTTGAAATCCGAGGAGATGCAAGTTGATGCTGCTGTTGCTCTGTGCACCATCATTTTTTTTAAACCGTATGGGTGGTAAACGTGCACTAAGTCCACATGATCGTAAGTAGATGTTGTGGCCCGTATACATCTACCACTATTCGATTGAGAATCGAAATGTTGACGCTTTGTCACTCCTAAGGACTAAGATGGACAACTTCACTCACCATACGAAACATAGCAACAACAAAGGCAATCCAATCCAATTCAAACAACATTAAACTGCTATTTTACGCTGTAATTTTTGTTAGAGCGTGGTTTCTTAAAATAATTTATGGAAATACCAAACGTTCGTATAAACTAAACGACGGACGGATATCCTCGTAAAGTGCTAATGATCGGCGAGGATAGAATTTAGGTTACTTGGGTAAAATATTTAAGTCGCCTAGCCCATGAGGAAGTCAGTAACGCAATTAATTGTATTATTTGTTACAGCGAGTGTACATAGCGATGTATGACTACGAAGCCAACGATAGTGACGAAGTGAGTACCTTTTACCATTACCATTATAATTATTTTATATACAAAGAGGCCACAACGGATAAGCCACCAGGGCGGCGCTACTTTGGAGTGAGGTGACATATTTGACAGATTTCATAGCGGGGGAAGTTGATTTGTTAGTAAAGTGTAGAGATTAAGGTTTCTTTTTGAAATAATAGTCATATTTTATACGAATAATAATTAGATTAGAAATGGATAAACTAAACTACGGAACGGAGGAATATCCTAAAGTAGAATTTAAAAGTAATTTAAAATTAATAATTTTGTACAACCAACTTCAATATAAATTATTAATAATAACTCAAAAAATATTGGTCAGACCTTGATCAAATCTTGGGGATTGATTGATTGATGAAAAAATGGGACCACTTGTGAAGCACCAGCTTTCAAAAAAAAAAAAGAATCATCGAAATCGGTTCACCCAGTAAAAATCTATGAGGTAATACACAAAAAAAAACATACAGTCGAATTGAGTACCGTCTTCTTTTTGAAGTCGGTAGAAAAAGCACACAGCAAACAATGAGGCATTGTTTTGTGTATATACATACACTTGAAACTGAAAAATTTATATTATATTAAATCGTTACTTTTTAATGATGATGATTATGTTTTTTTAACAAATAAGTTCACCTTAGTCCAAACTAGCGATATTTGGTAAACGTTATTAAAAAGGTTATTAGCCCTTATGAACCGTGTTGTGCAGGAATGTTTCAACCCACACAAACATAAAGTTATTCAGATTTGAGAGTTAAAATATGAATTTTTCTTGTGGCGGGTACCTTATTATATCATAATATGTATATCATTTTAAAGAAAATTGAATGTAGATTTTAGGAATAGAAATTGAAAAAACCTACAGTGAAATTATTTCGGTAAATACATACATACAAGCTAATTGTGGAAATATCAATGAAAAAGGAAATGCAATCGAATTGCTTTTGTCAGTTTGCACACGTATTTTTAATACAATCTTTTTTTAGTTTCATCGTTCGTTTAAAGAGGAATTACGTACTGCTGTGACCGGCAATGTATAAGGTAGAGAAGTAGTGAGAGTAATGCTTGGTGCAGGTTTCATTCCGCGAGGGCGACTACATCTCGAACGTGACGTCCATCGACGAGGGCTGGATGACGGGCGAGGTGCTGCGCACCGGGCGCACCGGCATGCTGCCCGCCAACTACGTCGAGCTGGCGCCCGCCCAGCCCGCCCACCACTACGCGAACTGACCCTAGGGCTTACGTAACCCTCATCTACACCACTACAACTGAACATGGACTATTTCATATGTCAATAAACACATCTCGATACATTTACAAACACTGCTATTTTTCATAACAATTCAATCTCACAGCATTTTTCAATAGTAAATTACTATCCTTGCTGTGTAATTATTTGTAGTATTCTACGCATTCAAAGAAATTTTAAAGGTCTGCACTCTGCACTGCTGAAAGAACAATGGCAGACTTTCATACATAAATTTAGTTGAGAAGAAATGGTAGCGTCTATATATCAAAAATATCTTAAAATATTAAGCGTATGTCCCTGAGTAACTTTGTCAGAAAAATTTGCCCTGAGAATGCGTCAAAAAAAAAGATATTTAGATTTGAATCTTTTTAGGTTATGTCTTATGTCACTTGGAAAAAGTCATGCATCCTTTGGTTATTTGATATTAGCTTAATACATTCTCAACATAATGTACCTACCTACATAATTGAGAGTTTTTAGATTATTGTATCTCTATTAAATATTTGCATACTATAAATGTATATTTATGGCATGGCTACTGGGCCTTTCTGCCATATAGTGACATTTTGTTTTAACTAGTGTTGCCATAACATTAAATGGAATTGTTGCATAGTACTATGATTGAGATAATGTATTATTGCAAGAAGTTCTTTGTTTGTAGACTTATTTTCAACCATATCACTTTTATTTTTATTATTACTGATACTATTGTTATTACTAATAATAACTTCCCATAAAAATATTTTGTGTTCGTGTGTTGAGTTGGTAGTCGTCTTACAAAGTGTATACGAAAATAGTATAAATATAGTAAATGGCAACACTTGAATAGTGTAAAATGATTATATTATATATAGTCATTTGATATTCCCAAAAATGTATGTACACATCTTTGGCTTTAATTAAAATACATTTTTATTTGAAAAATCACAGAAAAATAATTAAACTCATTTTATATATAAGTTATTTGTAGACGCAATCATTTTGTCAACTATTTTATGCCCTTGTTATTTATGTTCCAGCAGCGTTTCACATATTTGAGATGTATTATAAAGAAATTCTTATTTTTAATCCTTAATTGCAAATAATTAAGTTTCAATTATTGTTTTAATATAAAGCTGTTCTTTAGCAGTTGCAATAAATGATATAAAGTTAACTACAAAAATTTACAGTCAGCACATTCTATGTGTAGTATTTGCGTATAAAATTAATATGAATCAAAATACAAACTTAATCGATCATGTATATTATATTTTTTCACTTTAACTTGTTCTACCATCGTCAGTAATATATGTTACTAAAGCACGGTCGCGGAGCAGGATTTTTTTTATTGCTTTGCAATTTTAAACTTAATTCCCATCATAAAAGTTTTATTTCTATTGCCACTAAAATAGTTTTAGAACCTTTTGAAAGGTATTTGTGATTCGAAAACCGAGTTTATTCTCAAGTTATTAAAATTCACATTTGTATGGATAGCAATAATTTGAAATTCTTCCTGCTCCGCGATCACACCATAGCAAGTTCCTTAGTTTTAGTAAAAAAATCCATTGACTCTATTACGCTAACCCCTCCCCTATAAAAAAGTGAAACAGTGGATCTTCCAGGTCCTAAATCTATTTTCTTCCTCTCTCTTAATTCTTTGTAAAACCTATTTCCGCCCTCAACATTTGTTGTAGAATCGATTTCCTCTTAGGCCAAATTCAGTACTGCAAGCACTTATTATATGATATCATAATATGATAGTTGTTATCATATGCAAAATTGACTTAAAGAGTAAGCAAAATGTTTTTGACTTTTTAAGAAAAGAAGAAACCTGAAGTGTTAAAACTAGGGTTGCCAATTTTGGAACAGAATAAATTTAAGGGTATTTATTACATAACCTAAGGACATTGTGACAAGATTCAGATACCTATAAGATATATGTCCGGTAAAAGCATTTAAAATTTGTATGTTAAACTTTTGTTAAATATTCAAATAAATCTCGCGAATAGGCTTCGCTAGATTTTTTTTTGATTTACCCGAAAATGTACAATTTCGGCAGTAATTATAATGGTATAATTTGCATTAGGAAACTGACTTATTTTACAGTACTACAGTTGGCAACTACAGTTACAATCACTAAAAAACGTCTTAAACAACTCTGTGTAATCATGTAGGGAGGAAGAAATAATGACATTACGAGTATATACAAAGAGGATGGTATGGATCATGTTTGCTATGCTGTAAATACAGTAAATACAATTGTTGACATATTACACTGGTGCATAGTTTTAACACGTTAAGTAATGTATTTTGTGATATATATACATTAATATATATTATATAATTTTATTAGTGCGAGAATATCTTATTCTTGTTAAAATGACTTGCCAATAAAGTGAAGAATTCGGTTATATATCAGGCTAAAGCTATAATAAAATTGACTGAACCAAATAAAACGCTTGACCAGCAGGGCTAAAAAAGTATATGTTGCCATAGAAATGTGTTTACACTTTTTTCTGACAATTTCTATATAATGTTTGCCTTTAAATTAATATTATTACCGTGATATTTTTTCTCTTTAAGTCGAGGTAGAGTGGCGGGTCGCATTTGCGATTAATTTGTGAATAAAAACGGACAATAATTGTCTTCTTTACATAATATTTATATATATACAAATAAAAATATATATTTTTATACAAATTATACATATATTGTAGACGTATATTATAATTACTTATTGTAACTTAAATGAAAAAGGAATTATTTTCCTTTTATAGGACCAATATTTCTTAATCTTGCATTTATTTGTATTCATTCCAATGCAATATTTTATACTCTTTTAGACGTTTTCACCTATCAATATTTCATTATTGTTTTTTAAACCTAAACTTAAGTAGGTAAAGTTTCGGGATAAAGAAATATCTATTATATCTTTTCCCTGATGTTTGAAGTCTTACAGTCTCACTTTGTTAATAATTTAAAATTAAAATTATTTGTTACTTTTGTATGTGGCGATACTTTTAACACAAGCAATCTTAGTGTGGAAAGAAATATTCTAATTTTTATTTTAAAATAATTTATAGTCGTGATGTCATTCATACAATCTCTTAACATTATCTAGAAATTATAATGTGTGAATGAGAACTCCGGAAGCAACACACTTTCAAATAATCTGAACAATTTTTTTTGTATAAATCATCTTGTTATATTTTAATAAAATATATTTCTTACATTATAGGGTTGAAGATCCTCAGATCAAGAGATTCTTGCTTTGTAAATAATTTTAAAGTATGTACCTTTGTGGTTGCAGACCATATTTTATCGTTTTAAGTTAAAAATATTTTATTAACATTTTTTGTTTATGTTCACTAAATGTCGCCCTTGTAATGCATAATATTATACAAAAATAATATTGCAGAGGCGGGAAATAATATTCGACAAACATTTTGACTCTGTATGTTATCTATCAATGATCAGTTGCCAGCTAGCACGTATTTTGTTCACATATTTAAAAAAAGCGATAAAAAAATTGCTTATTATATTACACTTATTGTTAGACGCAATTGTTAAGCATCAGTAGGTTAGGAATATCTTATTTATTCTTATCTGTTGCAGAAAACGAAGATATTGTTGTCTATGGCGACAGATTTGTTTTATTTTAATAAAGTTAAAGTGTACATCACAAAAATACGGCATGTTTGAGGCTAGAGCGGACAAAATGTAATTTAAAATAAAATGATATTGCCTGTAAAAATTTATGACAGATATAAAGTCCCGTTAAATTAAAATCATATTTTTTCATGTATAATATATCATTTTACTTTTATCTAATCTACTTAAGAAGACCACTGCAGGCAGTGAAAGCGACGTCCATATAAATTACAATAATAAAATAAATTCTCCGCTGTAGCTTCCAACTGGGACCAAAGGCAACGAGATCTTATGTATTGGAACAGTATTACACGACCGATGTTATAGTGCCTTTGTAATATTTAATAAAGTTAAGCTGTACACAACAGGTTTTATTTCATTAACATTGTATATGATGGCTTATATCATAAAACTTGACAACCAGTGCTTGTTGTCAGTGATGACATATGGATCCTTTATTATTGCCGGCTTAAGAAATTGATGTTTTGCAATGTCTACTTTTTTTTTATAGGATAAGGGTGACAAGCGAGTCCGCCTGATGATAAGTGGTTGCTATAACCGATAGACATCGACATCTATCCTCAATAAAGAATCAAAATGCAGATTACTTGTCACCTGTGAGGACTAAGATGGAATGCCTCTTTTCCAGTAAAAAGGGTCTCCGCTTCTCCACACTCACCATACGAAACACAGTAGTGTTAACCTGCTCTTTTACGCTGGTATTCTGTGAGAGCGTGGTCCTTCCCCGGTCGAGCCGACCCATTTGTGCAACAATTATACTACTAATATAGCTGCAGCATAGCTCTACCACGTTGGAAAATCTGAGATGTGGTGCTTCAATGCTGGCCGTATGAGGAAGCTCAAGGCCACTCAGCAAGCTATGTAGAGGGCTATGCTCTGAGTTTCTTTGCGTGTAGACTGAGAAATGAGGATATCCGCAGTAGAACCAGAGTAACCGACATAGCCCAACGTAAACTGAAGTAGCAAAATGGGCCGGCATTATAGCTCTAAAACCGATAACCGATGACGAAGAATAATTGTTCTCGAGTGGCAGCCTTCTACCAGTAAGTGAAATGTAGGGCGACCCGCCACTAGATGGAGTGATGACCTGGATATGCAGGAAGTCGATAGATGCAGGTGGCTCAGGGCCGTGCTTTGGGGGAAGAGCAGTGGACTTGTGAAGGGCTATAACAATATTCATGACAACTTTACATATATTACTAAGCTGAAATACGGTTGGGTATGAATAATTTTATTATGTTAAATGATTCACATTATGTCATGCTTAGCACTGAGTAACTCTAAGATAATCGATTTGTTAATGCTGCTAGCTTAGTAATACATATATAATGTGAATCATTTAACACAATAAAATTATTAATACCCAATCGTATTTCACTTTGTCATTGAAATATTGAAAAAAAGATTGACAAAACAAACATTTAATTTGGAAATTACAGTGTAATGCCGTCATAATTTTAATAGCCTAGAAGTTCGTCTTGGTACCACCTTCTTGGCTGAAGGAAAATACTAGGTTTAACATGCCCAATTTTGTTTGGACCTTCTGAACATAGGATCTGCAGAACGTATGACGATGTCTTTCTAGATTGGTACTGATATGTTTAACTTATACAATACCTTTAATTTCTTTTACGTGGCAGAGCCACGCTGCAGCTATATTATGGTTGCAACACTAATATAGGTCGGCTGGGCCATGGGATGATGGGAGATCGAAGCTTTCACAGCGTAAAAAAGCCGTATGTACGTGTATAAAATCGGAACGTTCGTAAAAAAAGTCCATATTTATTTCAGAGGTGTGTTGATAATACAGATAAAAGATTTCCACATAGAGACGTAACGATTAAATTTTAGATTATGTAAAACTGTCTTTTTATTTTTCAGAAAAATTGTCCCATTGGGTGCGTAAAAGTATATTATAATAAACTTCCTGTTGAAATTGGAGAACTTCCATTAAAACCAAAGATGTTTTAAAAACATCTTTGCATTAAAACATTTTCAAAAAAAAAACTAAAACAATGGCTCATCCAAAATTGTTTTTATACTCTTTTATACGATGATTTTTATTGTTATAAACCAAAATGATATGTATTTTATAAGACATTTCGTGTAAAATTTACTAAATACATTTATATAAAATTATAATAACTATTGACATGTACACTTGATTTGATACAACATAAATATATATTTTTTGTTTAATTAATTATTGACATGACTCTTTGTGTCTTTTGAATTTTTAATTCTAAATTTATCATAAAATTATAATTAGACATATTTTTCTTTTAATAGAATCATGTACATTTTATAAAATTATGTATTTGCATGCCACTGGCGAAATATGCAGATATGCAGTGTATCGCTAGCAACGCAAAGTCGGGAATTTGCATTTGGAAAAATCCAAAATTAGGGGATTTTTATTTTTTTATTTTCCATTTACTACACTTTGGTTTCGATAATCGCTCAGCACTTAATTCCTTGCTATTAATATTTATCTTATGTCTAGTAACGTCATTGCGTTGCCTGCGACACGTTTTGCCAGCTACGCAAATTTCAATCGATCGTTGCAGTGAATATTTTAGAGCACCTAATTTTTAAACTTGGTATTTAATTAGCACCTAAAAAGCTAATTTGGGCTTTTTCTAAAAGCAATTTTGATTCTATTTTGATTTTCAGGAAATCTGAATTTTGCATCTGCTATGTTCTGAATAACGACTTTATTTTTATCAGAGGCGCTTTGTTATTGCCTATACTTGCAGCACCTAATTAGCACTTAATTCCTTGGTATTAATATTTACCGTATATCTAATAACTTTACTGCGTTGCTAGCGAGACGTTTTGCTAGCAACGCCAATTTCAACAGTTCGTTGCGGTGAAAATTTTAGAGCACCTAATTTTCAAACTTGGCACCTAATTAGCACCTAAAAAGCCCAGTCACCTTAGTTGACCTGAGAGGCTGACTGGGATTAGACCGTTCGCAGAATCGATGACAGGAATAATTTCGATCGGCAGACAACCCCACATGTCGGTCACCTCGTGAGCCAGGTCCTGATATTTTGTTCGCTTATCTGTTTCGGCTTTCACGAGGTTCTCGTCATAAGGAATGGTAATGTCGACCAAAAATATCCTTGACTGTGCCCGGTCCATCAGCACAATATCAGGCTTATTCGCAAGAATAGTCCTGTCTGTGATGATGACCCGACCCAGTAGAGCCTGGCGCGGTCATTTTCGAGCACGGCTTCTGGCAAGTACTTATAATATGGCAGTTTACGATCCACGAGACCATATTTCAGAGCGAAATACTGGTGTAAAATCCTGGCTACTAGGTTGTGTCTGTGCAAATACTGACAGTTAGTAAGCGGCGAACAACTGGAGATGACATGCCTAAGTGACTCACCGCGATGGCGACAAGCACGAGAGATGTCGACGGCGCCATATTTTAGAATGTATTTCCGATAATTGTTGGTCTTAATAACCTGAACCTGTATCGCACAAAAAAAAACTCGGTTTCCCCAAAGAGGTCCCCAAAACGTAGCCAGTGGAGGGAGGCTCATGTAGAGCCTTGTAGAATCTCCCATGGAGCTCCTTCTACTCCATTTTTTTTTATAGGATAGGGTGACAAACGAGCACACAGTCCACCTGATGGTAAGTGGCTACTATGACCCATAGACATCTACATCTATCCTCAATAAAGACTCAAGATGCAGATGCGTTGTCACCCGTGAGGACTAAGATGGAATGCCTCTTTGCCAGTAAAAAGGGTCTCCGGTTCTCTACACTCACCATACGAAACACAGCAGCGTTAAGCTGCTATTTTACGTTGGTTTTCTGTGAGAGCGTGGTCCTTCCCCGGTCGAGCCGACCCATTCGTGCTACAACTATACTACTAATATAGCCCTATCCTATAAAAAAAAAACTCATTAATCATCTGAGATCATCATTTATTATTAATCATCATCAGTTAATTCGACGGCCCCATTGGTCTATCGGCGCAACTGCTGATCATGTCGCGGGTTCGAATCCCAAAAATTCTCAGTAGTTTAAAGTCTGGAGTTGGCAAGTTAGCGGTGTTACTGATTACTGTCCCATCGTAATGTGTCTGTGCACACCCTTTTCACTTAAATCCTGCCCTGCGCTGATAACCATCTCCTTCAAGACTGGCCACCGTGAACAAATTTCAGGCTGTAGGACATAATAAATTATTCATACTATGTATGTAAATAAGAAACCATGAGTGAGTGTCGTGGAACACTCGGTTGGAACGAAGTTCCTTTAGTATTTATTATTGATAAACGTATTATATTATTGATTAACATATACAAATAAATTAATAATATTTCTTTCATGGCAAGATAAGAAAACGTTCGAGGGAGATGAAAAACGAAGAAAGGATTGTGACGGATAATTCTTTTCACTTTTTCTCGCCTAGCCCCCATCCGCCAAATTCATACCATGCGACAAGGAACTTCATTCCAAAAATAAATTGTTTAAAACGGTCTCGGTGCCATGCCATCTTTTATAAATCGTACTGTATTATGCCTACTTTATATGGCTTTTGGGCTGATCAGAATAATAAATTATTCGCTATGGTGGTTTGGCTTCCTTTTTTCCAAAATAAATAGAAACTTTATTCAATAAAGATCATTAATACTTATTAAAAGTCATTTTTATATTTAATTTACCACAGGTTCGGTAAATACCTTCTAGGTGGGTGAGACTAATTCTCACACTGTAGGTAAATTAAATAGGAGTCCGAAATTATAGTTTCTAACATTTTTTTTTTAGTAGAAAAGTATAGCAATTACTTCAACGACGAAGTTCAATCCGCGCATTTTCTACTAAACGCCTTATTTATTTTGGTCCCTTTATATGGTAGAATTTTTTTATTCTTGAATTTGAATTTTTGGTATCGGGATAGGTTCAGGGGTGTATAGGGACTGGAATTTGTGTAATATTCACTAGTTAATTTATTCGGATTTAGCTGTAGCGAGTTCCATATGAAACCAAGAATATTTAGGGAAAAATTCTAAATAAAACCAAGTCATAATTAAATGATTTTTATTTCAAATAACTATATTTTTGGTATTTTTTTTATCTTTAAAAATCTTAAATTATTAATTAAAGTGACTAAGTGTACTATTTATACAAAAATGACTCCTTTGTGTCATAAAACTAACAAAAATATCTAAATAATATAGCATAAAAAACTCTTCTAAATATACTTTATGAAAAACTACAACTATTTGTAAGTAACTTTCACAGAATATCTATTATTATAATATATATTTCTTAGGAACAACCTTAGGAAATCAACAGCCTTAGGACTCTGGTCTTAGAAAGCATAA